CCAGCTCACCCCAGGAGGTCCCTCGTGAGTCCTGAGCCTTCTCCTCCCCAGGCTTTTGGTAACTGAAGTGTTTACTGAAGGCAAGGGAATGGCACACACATGGGCCAAAACTGATTTATCTGCCCTCAGTAGAACATAAGCCACGGAAGGCTTCCTTTGGGGCAGGAAGTTTTGATAGGAGTTAAGGTTGTAAGACTAGAGGGCTGTTGTGCAGTTGGTCAGAGTAGAATAGGGGTGGAGTGGAAGTTAGGAGTGGGGGACTAGAGTAGTTTTGTGATAGAACTGTGAAACATGATGGTGCGGAGTGCAGACTGACCCAGTTAGGGTCCTGGATCCAACACCTCGCCTCTATTTCCTCATCTATAACATGAGAATGATAATAATACTAATCTAATATCACAGGGTTTTGGGGAGAATTAAATGGACAAATACTAGGAAAGTACTTAGAAGTATTAACACAAAAGAAATATTCAACAAATCAATATTGTTATTGATGTTACCAAACGGTATGGGTCTCTCAAAGTCCAGTCAAAATGGAGATGGTAAAGGCAAATTTTTCCTAGGTCCCAATCTCATGGTCTAACATATTGTATGGTGCTTTATAATTTAAAAACATCTCCCCATATGTTATCTTGGTCTGGATACAGGGGATTGAATCCAGGGGCACTCTGCCAGCAAGTTACATCACCAGTTGTTTTGTTTTTTTTATTTTGAGCAAGGTCTCACTAAGTGGTGGAGGCAGGCCTTGAACTTATCATTCTTCTGCCCCAGCCTTCCAAGTTGGTGGAATAACAGGCATGCACCAGCACACCTGGCTTGTTATCTTAGCTTGCTGATGTGAAAAATGATAAATATAATACTTCCATTATAAGGCTGCCAGCAGGATTGAATTTACTTCACCTAAAGTGTTCAGTAAATGGAAGCTGTTGCTATTTGGTGGATGCTTACTCAATATTTGTTGAGTGAATAAATACATATTATCTTCATGGAAACCTTGTGAAGACCATCTCTGCTTTTTTTGATGATTTTTTTGGTGGTGGTGGTGCCAAAGATGTATCCCAGAGTCTTGCACATGATAAGCATGAATTCTACCAATGAGCAACTCCCCCAAGCTATCTCCATTTTTTTTTTTTTTTTTTTTTTAAGATGAGAAGTTGAAAGTCAGTTAGGGAGAATCATGGTTCCAAGTAGGTGGTCATCTGCTTAAGTCATTAATAAGCGTGCATCTTTTTATTTTTCTTAAGTATTTATTTCTTAGTTGTAGGTGGACACAATACCTTTATTTTATTTTCATATGGTTCTGATGATTGAACCCAGTGCCTCATGCATGCTAAGCAAGTGCTCTACCTCTGAGCTACAACCCCAGCCCTGCTTAAGTCATTAACATGGTGGGTTTTTGCTCTCACCACCACAGCCATGGCCCACTCTGAAAAGTAATTCACACAACATCATAGCTGACCAATGACTGGGCCAGGCTGAGCTGTGTTTCCTTCTATTTTGGCAGGGAGGGGGAGCTTGGTCAGTCAGAATTTTAGAAGGAGATAATCATGACTCGGTGATTTTCAAAACCATCATAGGCAATTTTCCAAGGCCATCTTGCAAAACAAAAACAGACCCCACAAATCAAATTAATGATTAGAAGTTCAAGTTTAAAATGAAAGACAAAAAAAAAATCAAGTTAACTTCCAAAGAATGGGAAATTATAATTGATTTATTTTACTTCTGAACTTATGCATTCTTTAATCCAAAGTCCAATCCTGAGGCTCTGGTCCCATCAGAAGTCAGCAAGTTGCTGTTGTTCCTTCCCAGGTGGCTGCCTGCTCCTCAGGCAAGTTTTATTCCCTGAGCAGGAGCTCCTTTTTAACCTTAAGGAACTCATTGTGAAACCAGGAACCCTGCAGCCTCAATCTGATAAAGTTATTTGCAGGAGACTCCTGCAGAGAGGAATCCAGCACAGCAATTTTCAGCCCTGAAACTAATAAACAGGACTTCAGATACTATAAAAATAAAAAAATAAAGCATTTCCTAAAGAACATCTCTCTCACACGGCTCACCTAAAGACAGCATTGGAGGATAAAAATTAAGATGCCATCATTGAATCTGCTTTCTTAGAAATTGCTATAACAAGCTTAGAACTTACTGAAACAGCTGCAGTAAGTTTGAAATTAACAAAATTCCAAATGAAGACCGGAATAGAGATAAATTGTTGAGCCATTGCATTTGAAAGCTAGAAGAGAATTTAGAGATAAATTGTTCAACCCCTTTGCCTTATGAAGCTACTAATCTGAAGATGAAACTTACTCAAGGTCACACCGCCTGTTAGAGTTCACTCGCTTCATGAAAATTATGACTTGCCAACTGACTTGAGTCTGTACCGCCATGTTAAGCAGGGCTCTTAACAAAGATCAAAGAAAAAAAAACGGATTCCTCTGCCCAAAGCCTAGGTACCACCCCACAATGTGCGTGACCATTATTGGGGACTGCAAATAGCCTCCATCACCCTTCATGGAATAAATTTGTTTGCTTTAAGATTTGGGAAAATGGCATAAAACACTGAGCTCAAGGTTGCTTATCTCCCCAAACCAATGGCTCCCTTGCTTTACTTTACTCTTTACTCAAAATTCTCCCAAGGAAATTACAGCTGTAATCAGACACAGGGAAATTAACAAATAAGAACATAACTAAAGAAAAGTCCCTTGTAGTTAGGCCCAGAAACATGGGAAACAAGGAGAAAAGAAATTCATACATCAATTTGTTGTTTCATTTCACAAAGGTGCAAGGTGCTAGACTTAGGGACTTCCACACCCCTTTCATTGGGGCAAGGTGGTGTAACCTTGAGAGGTTCATGGGGAACCTCTGTTCCCCATGCTATGACCCAAACGTGCACTTGAGCTTTTTTTTTAGCCCTGGTTCTCCCATTTTTCATATGAAAGCATGTTTATCATCTTGTGTGTGTGTGTGTGTCTGTCCATAGACAACAAACTATGACCAAACTTTTTATCATCTCCACCCCAGCTGTGCAGTAAAATCACCTGAGGAGGTTTTAAAGGACAGACGTGCCTCTTCAGTTTTCTCTCTACTTTATCAGTTATGACCATCATGGCCACTAATGATGGGGGGCTGACTACACCAGGCTCCGGGCTACACTCTTTACCTATATTTTCACCCTGGACACGTACAACCCATTTGATAGAAGCAGCAGCTGAGGCTCAGAGATATTCACAGCTGGAGAATGGCCTGGCCTTTGTGATGAAAGCAATGGCTGGTAAATGACTATTCTTAGGGAACAGGAACATGTGTCTTTCCTCTCTGGCCTGCACCAGCCACATACAGCGTTCTGGAAATGACTGGTAATATTGTTGGCTAAGCAGGACACTGACTTTTCCTGGTTTCTGGAGACCTGTTTGCTATAACTTATTCTGTTATATCATAGACACAAACAGAATGAATGCAGAGGTTTGTTGATTTTCAAACAAATGGGTCTAGGTTCGGGTCCAGGAAGTAGAATCCATGTGAATAGAAGGCATTCAAGCTTTCTGCATGGMAAAACACAACCCAGTCATGACTTTAAGAAGCACCCAGAAAACATCTGATAAAATACACATTTATTAGAAATTTTTCAGCAGCATCATTTTCCAGTTGCTTTTCTAATCAAAGTACATTTCCAAGGAATTATAATCAGCCCTCAAAATATGAACAACAAATATTTTGAGAACCGAGGCATAAAATAATCAGTAGTACATTTCATTCATCCATCCATTCGTCCATTCATTGTTCAACAAATGTGCAATATCAGCACGAGAACCAGGATTGCTACTTGCCGTGGTGATTGTGTTCCTGCCATGGCTCCTGTTGGGGAGACCATCCCGGCTGCTCAGAGGAGAGCYGGGCTGTACAGTACATTCTGATACAAATGTATGGATTTAGGCAAAGGACCTGAAAAAGGCTCAATAAGAACAGTTTCCCTTTCTATTCATGCTCAACTCACTAAATAAATAGTCATTATAATGATATTTTTCCACACACAGAAACAAAAACCTAGTTGAGGCTTCACTTAACTGGTATTTGTTTTGCACCTTACTTTAAGAAGACACAGTTTTGGTTTTAGTAATTCAGCTACCGAGCTCCAGTCACTGGGGTAGGGGACCACCTGAGATGCCAGGCGAGGGCAGAAGCTGCTCTAGGATCCGCCAAGGGAAAGAGCTCATTGAATTAGATACAAACATAGCCCAGGACACTTGTGCTTAATGACATGGGATTTCCTCGAAGACGTTAGGAATAAAAATGTTGACCTGGCAGCTAGCGAGAGGACACAGAGGACAGGGAGGATTCTGGATGGGCAACAGAAAACACACAGAAGGGTGAAATTGAGTCTCTTCTTCTACCTTCTGTACTGTCTGAGGCATTGGCAGTCAGATCCAGTGTTTCTACAACACTCAGTGGCCTCTATTGATAAGCCCATTCATCAAGTTTATGTGGAATATTGAACATTAATTAAGTGCTGATATGTAAAAATGGACCCAAGAGTGGGGCCTGGACTCCTTTCCCTGGATAATTCTAAAGAAAAGATGAAGGGTGCCCTTTCTTTAACCATGACAAAAAGCCCCAAGTGAACTCCTTTCCTCACTGGATCATTTACTAAGATCACCAACCCATTCAACAGATACCTTTATTAGCCAATTCAGTGATGCGACAATCTTTCCAAAATTTACAAATGTACAGTATTTTTAGCATTACCTTCAGACAGCTTTAGTGCAAAGATATACATATAGTACATCGTGATAATTATTTGTAAAAATATGAAACGGCATAAGTAAAAAACAAAAAAAGAAAAAAGACACACCAGACATTTCCAAATACAGGCAAACAGAGAAAAATATACTTTCTTTTTTTTTTTTTTTTTGTAAAGGACTGAACATGAACATTTTTTTTCATTTGTTTGTAAAAAATATACGTGCAAAAATGTGTTTCTAATTATTCCCTACATCACTGGTGTGTGGCTATACCTCAGAATCTTCTTTCACAAGATTTGCCGTGTCTTTAAAAGTGTCCTCTGTTGCAGTGTAGCCTGGACTTGGGTCTTTTTTCGGGGAAGTCTTGGTAGGGAGAGAAGGAGATGGAGGTGGGGCCACGGCCACGCTTTCCTTCTGCTCCGGGTCCATCTACAACCACAAGGAAACATTTATTCTCCCAACATGACCAGAAACAGTTTTGAGTAAAGACTAATCTTTGCCAATTTGCTCAGAAAAATCTGAGCTTATGTCCAATGTAGTGTTTCTTTAAACAAACAAAAAAAAAAAGAAAATGCACTCAAAACAATTGTTAAAATTACCTCTGCGTAGATCGGATTTTCAAAGTTGGTAGTTTGTTTTGGCTTTCGTTTGAAGATATTCCATTTTGTAGCCTAAATGAAAAGAAAAAAAAAAAAACATTCAGTTATGGAATTTCTTTGGGGGTACCTTTTCCTTGGTGCAGCTTTTAAAATTTCTTCTTGCAGAARCACAAAGGAGTTTGGAACCTGGTTCATGTGGTAAATTGTTCTATTCTTCTATTGCTCCCAAAACAATAACTGAAACTTGTCTGGGCTCTTCTCGTTTAATAATTTCAAAATGGTTCTTTCTTTGAAGTGTACAGTTTACCAATCTGGACCCACAGTATCAAGACGCTTTGCCACGCTGATGGCTCTGGCTAAAACTAAGACACACAAGAGGTTTCTAGGGCTGCCCAGAGACTGGAAGAAAAAGCCAAATTGTAGCTCTTGTTTTCTAAAAGAGTGTCCTGATTCTTGTCTGGTTCAAGTGTGTCCTCTCTCACGTCATCATTTCCTCCCRAAATCATCATAACCATAGAAACAACTAACATTTATTGAGTGCTTACTCTGGGTCAGGAACTACACTAAGATTTTTACAAGTTTCTGATTTAATCTTCTCGACAACCCTCTGAGGTAGGTCCTCTTATGATCCCTGTATGACAGATTCTGAGTCAGAGCGAGATTGAGCAGCGAGCAGGCAGTGAATACTCAAAGGCTCAGGGAAGCCCATAAGTTGAAAGATCCAAAAGGAAACCACCTTAGTCAATGGTGGGTGGCTCTCACCTTACTGAAGCATTACCTGGCAGGAGATAAGGGAAGAGACAGCCTACTCCAACAGGGAGCGGAGGCAGTTTTAAGGGATGGTTCTTGCTCTGTGAAAGTTAGGACCAGCATGTGATAGGAAGCACATGACCACAGGAGATCCAGAAGAGGACATTCACTTAACCCAAATTGCAAAGAGCACCTACTCTATACATGGTGCCACCTCAGGAAGATGAAGACATGCAGGTCGAGCCCTGTCTGTCCATGGAGAATGGTAGAACCAAGCCCAGAAGTTCCTATTCGTGACTTTGAGGCCTTGCAGCCTATGTACTGACGAAAGATAAAGACTCCTTGGCATATTTGAGCCAATCTCCACTGATCTTAACCAMGTACCTCTATTGCTTTTAAGTCACACTAGTGCTCAGCTACCAAGAGACAACAGGAACAGAAAGATCCCTGGGTACACTGTGGAGAACAAATCTTAGAGGGTTTCAGCCTCAACTCACTTAAAAAAGTAAGAGGAAGAATCAATGTGCTGCAAGACAGAGATGAGAAAGGAAGAGTCTCATCTGAAACAGCTTTCTGTTTTCTTTCTTTCTCTGAGCACTGAGGAGCAGGCCAGAGGTGACAGTCCCCCTACTGCAATCTCCTTCCTGCACAGTCTGGGGGAGAGCTGTCAAACAAGGTCACTAGACTTAAAATGGAATTAGAAAAGATGGCGAGAGTATAAACTAAATCTGGCACTGCCCTGGGGTTGAGTCAGACTGAGGACCCAATATGGGACATTCAAGTATTCTGGTGTCTGTGGAAAATTTATTTGCAACATCCATTTTTAAATGTAGGGGAAAAAAGTTCAGTCCCTTGAAAATTATGAAACTGAAAATTCCTTTCTAAGACAACACCTATGTGAGTGTGTGTTTGTGTGTGTGTGTGTGTGTGTGTGACAAGAGAAGAAATAAATAATGAAAAGGTACACAGAGACCTTAGACATAAGCTCTTCTCATTAGCAACAATTTAACCAATAAGCTTTCATTTTGACCCAAATGAACAGAACCAATGTCTGAGGTGCTTCATAGCTAAACATCTCAGGAGATTTCCAAATTAACTTTGCAGATACCATTTTGTTTATGGATTATACAACTTGGGATATGATGACTGATTAAAAGGGTACTATCTTAAAATTTCATTTCTTCATATTACTTCACAAAATCACAGAATCTCAGAACTGAGACATTCTAGATCTTATTGTTCTTACCTGGGGGAATGTGAGAGAGAGAGAGAGAGAGTGTGTGTGTGTGTGTGTGTGTGTGTGTGTGTGTGTGTTTGTGTGTACGTGTGGGTAATGGATGATTTCTGGGGTCATAATGAGTATTATTGGACAGGCATCAAGAATACTGAAATATCCTACAATGCACAGGACACATTTTCTAGCCCAAAGAACTGTCCTACTCAATATTCTGATAGTGACCCTAGTGAGGCACATTATTGATGACTTTAGGGTCCAGAGAAAATGGCTTGTCCAGAATTAAATAGCAAGGTCTGGGATAGCTGCGTCTGTGTCCATTAAAATTGGAGATACATTATCCATTATAACAGCTTTACATCTAATGTATTTATTGAATTTCTATATGCATTCCAAATAATCCTCAAATTGCAAAGATCTAACAGACATGGTAGAGAAACTCCACTAGATGGTCTTTTTCTTTTAATCTCCACTACTAAACACTATGCCTGGTTGAGTGACACACCATTGGTTCACTGGCCAGAGAAGAGGGTATAAATTAGTGCCATCTAGTGGTCAATATTGGTAATATCGGTGGAGCTTAAAAAACAAACAAAAAAACCATCTCTACATTATTAAGGAAATAATACATTAGAAGGAAGAGTCATTTATATGTATCCTCAGCACAGTGAAATATTTATTCAAGATAAGTGAGTACCTCCAATTAGATTTCCCTGTTCTGCAGATACTGGATCTATAAGTCTGTTTTCCCTTCTTTGTGATATGATCTCTCATGGATTAATATCCACCCAGCAATTCCTAAATTCTTTGCAAATTCCACTCATTTGGAATGATGTTATCTGAGTTACCAGTGTTACCTGAGTTCCATCAGCATCCGGGGAGGTTGGTTTTGGCTCTATCTCAGAAGGGTTTATGGAACTTCCATAATTCTTATTATCCACATTTCCAGACATTGTCATCTGTAAACATATTAAGTCCCTTATCCAGTTTTCAAAGAATTCAGTAATAAATAGATTTACCACAAAGTTTCTTATCAACTTTTTTGGTCCTGTTTATCACTTTGTCCTCCCACATATGTGGTCAGAAACCATTTTTGTTATATGGATAGACCAGAATTAAATGCTACTTCCAGCTCCCCCCAGTCAAAAGCACCACCCCTACATCATCTCAGGCCTTAATCCTGGGAAGCAAAGGTACTGCTCACTGGCCACACTCCTAGTTATTAATAGCAATTCCTGCTGTTTTCTCTATAACTCTCTATTCCTGCTATTGACCATATTTTTAAATAAAAGTTGAATACAGGCAGCCAGGTCATAGAAGAACAGTGTGAATAATTCCCCAAACTCACTGGTGAACTAAGAATCCCACCTTCTAATACTAAAAATAAAATTAATAATTTCAGAGAACTGCTTAAAAGAGGTTGAATTTTTTAACTATAATGAAATTAAGACCCCTTTGCACATTTTTATAACATTCATATATTTCCAAGCTTCCCTCTTAAACCCAAATTACCCTGAATATATAAATTACAAGGAAGATAATCAGCTCCTTGTCCTCTAATTTCACATTTACCACTTTGTTTCTCTCAAACTTGGGTACGTGTTTACGTACACAGCCTCATTTTGTTTCAAGTGAAAATGCAATGAAATGTCATATCTGTTTTCACCATGCGTTAAAGTTTTGCTATCTGGTTATTAAAAAGGATCAGGGCAAATGCATTCAAGATTCAAATATTTCTGCTCTGAAGAAAGCTATTTGTAAAACATTTCCATATATTAAAATATGCTGAATTTAAAAGCAGTTTAGGTGTTCGGGTTAGAAGTTATTTATTGTCACTGAGACTATGGTTGTTTGTATAAATGAGGTAGAGGTGACAGGTGCTGGGGCTACTGGTCCAGACCTAATGAAAAGTTCTTTTCCTTCACCTGTACGCCCATCTCTTCTCCCAGCTCCACTTCTTGACTTTGGAGACCTCACACTTTTCAGAAAAGTAGTGCAAAGGCAACTATAGGGAGGTCCCTGGGCCTTTGACATACCTCAAATCACACCCTTGCGACACCAATCATTCACTCACTCACTTCCTACACATTCAGAAAGAGCCTATGACACATCAGGCCCTGTGCTTGCCTGGCCTCTGAACGACTCAGYTCTCACTCACTCTGACTCCTCTCAAAATGAGCAGCTGAGGGGAATGATAGCACCCCAGCACGGCYACCATGACTCAGGACCCTGTGGCASCACAGGGTTCTGAGCATCCGCAGGGCGGGGTCCAGGGGCCAGCCAAACACTGCAGGGTGAAGCTGAGGCATGGGCTGCTGCRCTTCCTTCCATTTGGAGGAAGGTTAGGAGACTCTCCCTGGGACACTACTCAATGCAACAAGATCCAGCAGCAGCAGCTGACAGGAAGAGCTGYGTGATGTCCCACCTGGGATGGCAGGACCACTTGGACGGCACCGTCTCTGGCTGCGTACATTGGGTTTTCAAATATTACAGGCTGCTTCCCCATTTCCATGGCAAATTGTTCATCCTGATGGGATAAGGAAGAAARATCTTACTTCACTGATCTGATTCATAGGCAGAGAAATGGGCCCCCCTCGMACCTGTAGGCACACTAGGCGCCTCACCAAACTTATTCAAAAGACGAAAGGCTAAAGAGCATGATAAAATGGGGGTGCAGCTCAGTAGTAGAGGTGTTGCTTAGCATGCACAAAGCCCTGGGTTGATCCCCAGCACAGAAAAACAAAACAAAACAAAGAACAGAGACACAAAGCTTCCAAATGGCAAATCATTATTTAAGGTCACAGAAACGCACTAAAATATCAGCTCAAGAAAACAGAAACACTCTTTCTATATCTGAATTCTCTACACCAAAAACTCACTGGGGAATGGGTATGAACAACTGGAAAGAGTGGGTGGTAGAAGAAGAGAAAGCAGAATAAGAAGAGAGAACGGGATAATATTGCACTTTCAGGCAGGGCAAAAAGTGGCATTTGGGGGAGGAACAAAATACTGAAAGTGGATTATAGGGATCCCTCTCTGTGCCAAGACTATGCTAATCTCCTCCTAAACTATCTTGTTTGGTCCTCACAGGAGATATTCATGTACCCATTCCACAGTTGGGAACAGCAAAGGTCAAAGAGAGCAAGCTCCATGCCTATCATCACATACTTAGAAGGTGGCAGGGCCATAGTAAAAATCAATTCTGACTTTAAAATCACTATTCCCTCAGTATACATAAATGCAAAAATATATAACTTGGAAAAATATGATTCTTTTCTCCTTTTATACACATAAAATGTTATTAAATAAAACCAAAATATTGTGTTCTTTCACCCTCAAAAAAAAAAAAAAGAGAGAGAGAGAGAGAGAGATGAAAAAAGAAAACCCACCCATAAAACTTTTTAGATTTTAATTAAATTTAATAAGACTATGGTTTCAGTGGAACAGTGAAGCTTAGAGTGCACATAAATTTCAACTTTATTATTACCATTCCTAATGTTTTTAGGTGAATTTCTGCAACATACAGTGCAGACTTTATTCTTCACTTCAATATTTTTAAGGTTAATTTTATTCTTTATAAAAGATTCTTTTATAAAATCAAAAAAAGGACAACCTTCAAATAATCATTTGGAAACCCTACTCACCAATGCCATTGATCTGTCAATAATAGACTCAGGGCCAAAATCAGATACTCCAATATCCATGTTCACATCTGCCCCTGATCTGAAGGTCACCCCATTTCCATTTTCAGAGGGTTTGACAAGACTGCTTAAGCTGGAAGGAACCACAACAGTGTTTTATCATTTAAAAAAAAATTGCAACAGTTCCCTTTCCTCCTTCACATGCTAACTCTTACTTATATAAAATGTGCAATTCCCACCCTGAATGTACAAACATCAAATATGGGAGTGAGTCGCTTTGTTTACCTGGAAACATTAAAACACATTCTCCAATGCTGAGATCTAAGAGACCTGTGGGGCACGTCCAGGAATAAAGCCCTGTGATACACAGTGGCACAGCCACCTGTCCTAGCTAACTGTCCTGTACCCTAACTGTCRTGGGGCACACCAGTAGACGCAACCATCTGGACTATAGAACATGATCTGTCACTCAAGCTTCAGAGACTACTCTGAAGAAGTATTGACTTGAAATGACAGCTTTAAATCCTTAGTACTTTTTCTTTCTGCAGAATAGGTGAACTTTTGTACTTTTAAAAACCTATTTATTCATATGATCATWCAGGCTTCTATTTCATATTATGAAACTGACCTTGGCAGCTTGGGCAGGGCAGGCAAAAGGGAGCCAGTTTTCCTATAGTGGAAAAATCCTACAATTGCCAGAGCTCCAATTATGATGATCAGGAGGATTGTCAACAGCGCAGCCATTGCTGCTGTTAAAAAAGGAAGAAACAGAGAGCATATCAACACACACGGAGAAGGAAAAGAACCCACAAGCTTAGCAGGAGGAGCTGGAGGCTAGGACCATGAATTCTTTAAAGACTAGGTTAAAAAGAATAAATGACAGCATTCAAGTTAGGAGCCCTGAGTGTTCCCAGGCTGCTCATATTCTTGACTTACTTGTTCCTGGAGGGATGCCTTTCGAAAGCCCAATTTGACAATGAGTTCCTGTGTAGCCACTAGAACACCTGGAAGTAAAAGGAGAAGCTTTCACTAGCCCTGTTGCCTCTTAGGCCCCACTACAATTTTATAAGCACTCCGAGGAAGAGAGAGCTTTGACTGAGTAAATTACACGTTGAGCACACCATGCTGCCTGCATAACTTCTGTTTATCCTGCCAAGAGATGACGAGTAGAAAGAACAGGGTCTGACTTCAGAAATTCACTCACARTGGAGTAGCTGTGACAGTACACGGTCAGTCCCATCAAATAAACCTATGCGTGTCTTCTCTACTCTATGGAATTTTCATCTAGAAAGTGCAAATGGAAACCATAGTTGTTTTCCTCTCCACTGAAGTGCTTTTGTTAAACTTTTTAAACTTTTTAAAAAGTTTCTGTTTCTCTTGCTCTGTGTATGAGCTTTCTCAACAGCTTTCTTCTTTGCAAATCTTTGGCCCTGTCTTTCTGCATACCAGGGGTGCTATGACAGCTATTCTCCCACCCTCCCACTGACATGTCATCATCCCAGGCGAGCAAGAAAGAGACAGTTGCCATTTCTCTAATTCCTTGCTCCCCAAGTGTGGCCCCCAGCTTGTGGCATCCCCAAGAGCTTGTTAGAAATGCAGAATGTGAATGAGAATGAGCATTTTTACCAGATCCCCAGATGATTCGTTGGCCTATTATAGTTTGAGAAGCACTGCTTTAGTCCTCTGAGACCACCCCAAAGGAGGGCAAGCTGGTTAAACTGAGAAAATTAGTGAACCAGCAAGGCACCTGCACTTGTTTTCCAGGCTACGTTAAGGTCTCGAGTTCCCCCAGCTGACACAAGGCCTGTGGCTGGGACCTCAGCATCCAGACTTACTTGCATTGGGGGAGGTTGTTCTCATCAAAATAGCAAGTTCCTCCGAACATACACCTGCATGGGGGGGGCATGGCGATAGGAGGTTCGATGGCTGCAGAAAGGGAAAGCCATGCATGTGTTAGTTGGCTACTCAGCAAGGTACCCACACCATGCAAATGTGTCCAGGGCTGGGGCTGGGGTGGGCCAGCTAACAGTCTCCCTGTCAAGCCGTCACCTGCCCCTTAAGTCAAGTGAATTTCCTTATCAATAAAAAGCTCTTCAGAGCAATATACATTTTGTAGAAAGAAAATAGGCAGTTGATAGTAGAGAGATGCTAAACTCCAGAACTTGTATGAATAGTTAAAAGAGCCTCATGGTAAGAGAATCTCTAAAGACATTTACATTCTYGTTTGAAGTTTTCCAAATTCTCCTCAATGACCATTAAAATTGAGAGTTTAATTTAGATGCACTTCAACACTATATAGCAAAGGCTCAAAAGCATCAGTGGATCAACTAATCAACACACAGATATACACAGGCGGACACCTAGATACTTGATGGACACTGAGCAGGAGATCTTCCTTCCAATGTAAGGAATAATTCCTCCTTCCCATAGGTCCTGAGCCTGGTTCAGGACCTATGATGTGTGGAAGATATCACCTGCCAAAGGTGTAAGAAAACTAGATGTTCCTGTCCAGTAAGACTTCACCACGTGGACCCCAAACGCCCCCATTGTCAAGACTTGTGCGGGAGATGCAAAGGCAAAYGCCTGTCTTGCGGCAGCACTTTCAGCTTCAAATATATCATTTAGTGAAAGAAAAAAGTTCTGCTGAATGTGTGCTAATGGAGTTGGCATGGGAGCTTTTCCCAGGCTCCTTTCTACCTCTCCCTCCTCAAAATACTTGATGAAAGGCAGTGTATTTTGATGAAGCCTTCAAAATAAAGGTATTGCAAAACAGTTTTTTAAAAAAAGGAATATCAAAGGAAAAATCAAAGGAATATATGATGTCATATATTCCTTTGATGTGCCTGATGGGTCAGTAATGATCCAATGCCTTATACTTAGAACAYGTTTCATAGATATTTTTGTGTATTTTACTTAAGGAGTTGACTATCCTCCTGGTTCAGGCCTTCAATTTGAGTCTCTACTCAATGTTACTTTTACCAAAGAGGCCCTCCTGATTCTGTCTGCAAAAGCAAGCAAAAAACCACCTGCTCATTCTCTCACTCTGCTTTCTTGTCTGCATGGTACTTTCCCTATTACATGTTTACAGGTTTCCTCTCTTTATTGTCCTGTTAGAAAGCACAATTAACRAGAGCAGATAGAGAGTTTTGTTCACTTCTGTTCATTCCAGTATTCAGAATGGTGCCTAGCACATAGAGGGCACTCAATAACTACTTACAGTGCTAACTGAAAAATTAATATACCGCTCCAAGACCATATGGAATGAATACCATCATTAATATGCTCACTTTGGTGTGAGTTGTTTTAGATGAGACTCAACATAACCCATTTGGCACAAAGTTTAAGAGAGGAAGGTAGCAGATGAGGTGACAACTTACACCTCCTCTACAACGTGAAACCACAATAAATGTCAGAAGGATCCATGTGCAGCATAGAACAAATTTTGTTCAAAATATTGCTCAAGATATTGAAATCTTGCCAATATTTCCCCAGCAGTGCTGGGATGAGCATGGGAGCAAAAGGGAAGCGGGTTTTTGTYTCCGAGTTCATTCTCCAAAATGGGCCAACTTTTCAGTCTGGTTTGGATGAGTAAAAGGGCTTAACCCTGTTTAAACACTTGCTCCCCCTGCTGGTAGAAGGAGATTAAGCCTCTCCATTTCCCCATCAGCCAAAAAGTGGAGGGCAGCCCCAAAGTGTTTTTTAAGCCTAGGAAAATAGTTAGAGACACTAGTTGTTCCCCACGATTTACTAACTCTTTAATTTAAAAGAGTCATTGAAAAACAGAGTCTTTCCCAGAAATTATCCACAGCATTTGCGATGAGAATTAAATCTCTTTCTTATTCTGGCCTTCATTTCCCAATGACATAAGGTATCTTTCAAAATATGGCTCCTTTTYAGTTGTCAGAACTCTGAAATGAGCATGTGAGAAAAACCATGAACATCCTCTAGCCCTCCTGTCTGTACTATACAAGCCCCTCCCACCTCAAGAATATGGTTCTTCGCCTTGATCTCAGGTAAGGCTAAGTGAATTCAGGGACAAMAGAAATCCACTTCTGGGTGAAGGAAAGAGGAAGAAAACTCACCCTTCAAAAGGTCTTTACAAGGCAACACAAGTGTAGATTTAGGACCTGTTTCTCTTCAGATCTTAGCAAATCTCAGAAATCCTTGTTTGGCCCCTGGAGTCCACTCATCTCTGTTTGTGTTTCCCACACCACTCATCCCTCCTTCTAGCTACCCCTTTCACCTACTTTGTTCTGCAAAGGACACAGCACACAGGGATTCTCAGGCTGCCCGGAGGGTGTCCCTACCTGCATCACACATAGTGTTGCTCCCTGTTATAAAGTTGGACCCTTGGGGACAGGCACAGCTGTATCCTCCAGGTCTCAGTAGACAGAGGTGGCTGCAGATCTGTTTGCAAGGGTTGGACACTGGAAAGCAGATGAGAACAGCAGTTAGGTCCTGATAGGAGAATGAATACTCCACTAAGGGTGTGTCCATCCGCTGGGTGTGGTCCTACAGCTTCCCAACATCTCTAGACCATTATGTGTTACCTGGAAACTCACCTTCATTCACACTTTCATCCTTGCCACCCCACCAAAGTGGCACAGAACGCCCMCCCCCCCGTGTCCTCCATCCCATCTCTCTATCGCTTGCATTGTCTATTGGTACCACTTATCTCCTCTATTGCCCTAGTAGGTTTGGAAAGTGGGTATCTGTTGGTCAAACCTCCAAATGTAACTAGTGCTAAGCAATTTGAGATGGTTCAGAAGACCAACAAGACCCCAGGATTACACCCAGATTTGGTTTTACCCAGATCTGGGCAGGTCATGATATACAATCTATCCAAGGCATACACTGGATGAGATTCCCACCCCAAACCTCTAAGAAGAATTTTCTTCTGGTCTCAGTTCACTAAATAAATGCAAGAATCTTGGCTTCCCCACTGACTCACATACAAGGATCAAAGGAAGTGCCCTGTCAGAATTCAACCTGCAACTAGGCATACTAACTACTGAGCCAGATCTTGCAAACTGAGCTTTGAGTTGGAGAGAATTAAACTTATCATTTCTTTTAGTAAGGAGAGAACCTGAAGTGAGGAACTTACTACAAGCTATTTATTTCCTTTTCTCATTTCAAAACTTTCCTCTCCCCTTCATCTTGCACTACACAATGCTGAAAAATGAACCATAATACAGTTAACCTGAGGAGGTAGGACCCAGAGCTAAGAAGCCAAAAGAGGGGAGAAAGTAGAAATTCACGTGACTGACAATTTTGAACTAAGACTCAAGTATCTGAGCAGTGTGGCCTGACCACTTAAAGAGTGGTTCAAACTGATATTCGTGAAACCCATTTTGTGACTTCTTAATTCAACTTCACAGGGGTCTGATGTCTACTGGATTCTATGGCCCAGAAGTACATATCCACAACGCCAAACAAGGAGGACTGAAATATTTTTACATTGACTATGTTTTTTTTTTTTTTTTTAATGCTGGTGGTTTGTATGATTTCATTTGACCTCCAATATTCTTTCTTTTGTCAAAATGGTTCATCTTCCTACCATACCCCCACATAACCTCTTTAATGCACCAAGAGAGCAGCCTATTCTTACCCACTACCCCTTGCCAATACTATAGCCATTCTTTTGAAATGAGCCTTCCAGATAATAAAGAGCATTTTATCCCAAGGTTGGTGATTACCTGATCGATTATATCTCAGTTGATGAAAGATCCGTACTTGAGTGAGCCAAGGGTTCACGACCAGCATTTTCTCTTTCTGTCCTTTCCCAAATTTATTTTGTTTCCACACTTCTCCTTTATCCTTAGATACCCAGTATAGCTGATCTTCAAAGATGTCCAGACTGTAAGGCTTCAATGCTGCTTATGACAGCAATGGCAGAAAAACAAGACAAGGTATTAAAAAGATAAGATCCCAGTGCATATCTGATGATATCCAGACTGAATTAATCCCAAATGCCTGGAAACTCCTGGAACATTCAGGCATATTTTCTGTACATGTGACCATGAAAGTGCTGCAATGGGAGATCAAGGTGACAGAAATTACATGAGATTAATGCATGCTGCCTGACACCAATTACAGGGCACTAGCTCACATTCAAATTGCTGATTTGGTTTCATCTTTGGAAAACAATTTGTAGAGCAGAGATTTCAGGTTTTCCTTTGAACATAAGATACCATTGTTCAGATAGGGAAAATGTGACATGTACTGGACCACTGCAACTCTGCAGAGTCTGGACAAGAAAACAAAATGCTCCTTTTTTTTTTTTTCTAGATGTTTCCAGTCATGAACAATGAAACAATCTCGCATAACACACAGAAGCAATCAGACATGGATTGATATGGGTACTCATGAACATGCTTCAGGGCAAGCCAATAGAAATCTCAGTTATTACAATATCTACACTTGAGAGGCATTTCTTAAAATTCTGTAAAAGGAGCAAAAAAGAATTTAATTACTGCTAGGGATTCATTTGCATTTACTTTAGCAGCTGGGAGTTGATGGGCAGCATTATGGAATCCATTTCCTAAGATCAGGGTTCCTTCTTGAGAAAATGAGCAAAGAGACTAGAAATATGTTAAATACTTTATGTATTAAATCTAACTGATTTCTAACCTGTTTTTATAATGGTTCTCCTATCAGTTCCATCATAGTTTATGGTTTCAATGACGTCCTCCTTGGAGTCACTCCAATAGATCCGGTCATTGTTCAGATAGTCAATAGAAAGGCCAGTTGGCCAACCGAGGTCCTCGGAAACCAGGATGCTGCGATGCTCCCCATTCATCCAGGCGGACTCGATTTTAGATTCTTTCCCCTGGTCAGTCCAGTACATGAGCCTGTAACAGAAGTATTCTTCATTGTAGCTTCTTCCCTAGTGGTTTCCCCACTAGCATGGAGAGTGGAACAGTACCAACAAAGCACAGTCTTTCACAGAGACCTGGGTGCTAAGTGAAAATATTTTTATACTCTTCAGTATATAAGGAGCTTCAGTAGATAAGGAGCTTTTCTTTGCTCTTAAGATATTATATATGTAAGATACAAGAAGGAAGGACTAATGTTGAGGTTAGGTCCACATTACAGTTTAATCTTATCAGGCAAGCATTTTTTAAGTGTCATTGCTAAGTTTCTATGGGCGTTATTTAACATGAAAGAATGAAAGTCAGGATAGTTTGTAGTACTTTAGGTACAATTACCCGCACTACAAAGGGTCATACTGGTCTTGTCCAAATAGGAGAAGTGTTTGGGGCTACTCAAAAAAAAAAAAAAATTTTTTTAAGTTACTACTCTGAAGCCAAATTAAATAAGTAAATATCAATTTATCTAGTCCTAAATGTCTTGAAATGCAGAGAAAAATGACAAAACTAGTTCTCATGCTGAGATGATAAACCACAAATTGGAACATTTCTATAAATCAATAGAACATATTTTATACATATGTTATTTGATGTACTTGCATATTTGGGAAATAAATGTTTAATTCTATCCAATGAAATATAACCAAATCCCTAGTTGAATTTCAATAAATGAGTTACTCTTATGAAAGGAAAACCAACTCTGATTAAGCCTTTGCTTAAAGAAGTAAAGAACCCAATATGCAAAGAATTTTAAAGTTCAGTCAAGGAGTTTGTGTAACGGGAAAGGTTCTCAGGAATGTTCTCAAAGGAATTTCTCCATCAGAAATTATTGGTCCTTTTATGATCCCAGGTCATATTATAATTCTTTAAACAGTCATAAATTCCATTCTAAAATATCAGAGGACTGTTTCAGTACAATTAGAAAAAAAATTTTATGGAAACCCAGTGGAGATTATCCCAATCATAGAAGATTCCTTGAAGGACTCACCCTAGTTTGGGATTCACAACGATGGCAGCGGGCTGGTCCAACTGAGTGGAAATCAGCCACTTTCTGTACCTTCCATCAAGCTTCGCCACTTCAATTCGTTGGTTCTTGGCATCAGACCAGTAAATATGCCTAAGTTCCGAGGGACAAAGTTAAACAATGGAAACGTCTAGACTGAATATTTCTGGGGGAGAGGTTTTAAGATGAGAAAATTCAGTTTGGCAGCTCTGGTCAACAAAACAGCTACTGAGATACTGAGATACCTGTAATCGAGCACAGAGCCCCTCTCTCAGGAACACCCTAATCTTTCCAGACAAGGGAACATCTTTGGAAAGTTACCTATGGAAGAATGATCAGCCAAAGCAGCTGAATCAGCGAGAGGATTGGTAATAGAGGTGGATGCCGCAGTCGGGCTGGTCTCTTATCAGCCATTTTTATGAGACATGTGTTTCAGGTAGAACTCATAAGGCATAAGCCTGGCTGCCCAAGAGTCTATTTCCTCCTCARCAAAGAGCCCCCACTGGAATCAATAGGAATCTGGTATCAGATGAGTGGAATCAGCATTCAAAATAACCAAGTCAGCAAGGCCACTCTGACCTTATTTCCACTTCTAAGCCTGCAGGTCTCTGTGGCTTACAAGCAGAAAGAGCTGCCAGGATTTCTTAATTCCCTCATCCATTAAGGCTGAGAAACGGGTAACACTTCAAACAAGAGGATCTGCCATTGCCTGGTTGGTTTTCCAAAGGAAGTGTTAAATGTCTAGAGTTTCAAGCTTCTGACTCCACTAATAGTTCTCGGAGGCCCCATTTTCTGACAGAAAAAAATGTTGAAGTGAGTCTCCTGGAAGCCTGCGGGCACAGTGGGGACCCAATTAACTTCTTCAGAGAAGCTCAAGTCTTCCAAGAGCCCCAGAAGGGTTTGTTAAAAGGTGAGAATGAATTTACACTGCAAATGAGTCTCCATTCTCCAGGAGGGCAGTGAGCTGCTGAGGCTTTCCTCTCCCACATCTCTCCATTATGAGTTCATTTGGAAGGACACAGGGGATGCTGATGCTATGAATGCTTGAGTTCTTTTGCATGTAATTACTTTCACTTGAGTGCCAGCCTCCTCCTTGAAGAAGGAGCTGAATAACTTTCTCGCCCTGGTTTGCATTCCTTGCATCTTCCTGAGGGTTCTGACTTAGGGATCACCCAAAATGTGTGGTTCTGGTCCCTAGAAAGGATCTTAAAGCCAGATGGTTCTATAAGGTCTAAAAGAAAAGAACAGAGCAGATGCCTCCATTAACTCAAAAGCCAAAGATGAAGCAGGAAAGTCAAATTCTCAATCAGTTCCAGAGAGCTAGCCTGCTACAACACAAGATGCGGTTTGTTCCTCCCCAAAGTCATTACCAGAGAGAAAACAGTTGAATCTCAACTGCTTTGCTTGGAGAATTGTGAGGCTGTTCCCTTGCTTCACAAAATGTACAGTGCTGCCATAACTGAAAGTCAATTTTGGAATCCAGAACTCTGTCTGCAAGAAAGCTCTACCCGCTAGAATACAGAATCTTGATCTGGGTGCTTTCTCAAACCTTCTCATGACACACATAGAAAACAGGAAAAGGATGATGTTTACATGACACACTAGGGTAAGCAGAGGAGGTTGCCAGGCCAAAGGCAAGCCCAGGCATTGCCAAGTGACACCAACAGCTGAGCACATCCATACCTGGGCCCAACTGAGTCAACTGCCAATGTGAGCAGCAGAGAGCTCTAGCCAGGAAAACAGAACAAGCAAGAAGGAGATGTGTGGCAAATTTACCTTCCAACCCAGTCCACTGCTAGTCCATCTGGCTGCATTACGTATTTCAGGCCCAGGTCAACTTCCTGAACGGGGTTATTGCTGCCGGATTCAAAGTTGGGGATGTAGGCACGTTTGATAGCACCAAACTCAGAGCCCTGTGCCAATACAGTATAATACACAACACCTACAAAGGAAGACACATGCCAGTTTCATTTTAAGAACATCATGTAAGGGAGGAAATGGRGTCTAATCAAGTGAACTGCTACTCATCTATTAACATCTCTACTTCCCCTTTGTTTTTATAATACTAATAATTCAATTACATCAATATGATCAAACCTCAAACCTATCATACTTGAGCTATTTGCTACAAATATTTCAACTGACAACTTATTAATATTTTCTTAGTCATCTCTATTTGAGGGTAACTCATTAAAATATTGATCAAGAGCCTATTTGCTCTCAGGTCTAGTTTCCAAAACAGAATGTATTAAAAAAAAACCAATTCATATGCAGTATCAGTGGCAATAGAAGAGACAGGTAGATGAGGAGTTCTTTTTTATGTACAGATGAAAGGACAATATACAGCAAGTATGTTAAAAGCACAGGGAGACTGAGTTTTAAAGCATATATTGGGCATCTGCTGCTTTCCTAGATACACATCTTTCTTGAAAAGTTTATTTTTTGCATGAATACATGTGGAGGAAATACAACAATAATAAATCTTTCATTGATGTAGTTACTGATATTTTTCAAAGCATTTCATATGAATTATGTAATTCAACTTCCAAAATAACTCTCAGAGGTAGGTAGGAAGAATAAGATGACTACTTTCATTTTACATATAAAACATTGAGATACAGAAAATGGTTACAATTGCTTAAGGTTATAAATGTAGTATAGGAGGCAAACAAGGAGAGAAGATGAGCTATAGGTATAGAACACCAGTTTTCTGACTTTTACCCACTACTACTTCCCATATAGCCCCGAGAGGCCCAATTATAGGCTTTATACTTTTTCCCTGCACCCAAACTAAGCTTTTAGAGCACCCACCACATGTACTGTGCCAGATATTAGGCATATAGAAATGAACGAGATCTCTGTCTCCAGAGAGCACATGTTTAGTGCATAGGGAGAAAAATCTGTGTACCACTAGCTATATAGCTCAATGTCACATGTGCTTTGGTAGAAGTGTGTACACAATGCTGCAGGCTCATGGGTGCATTACACAATTACATTACAGATGTCCCAGAGGACATGACATTGGGACTTTGAGGTCTGAGTAGAAATTTCCCAAGTGTACAATGGTAGGGAAGAATGGGAGTTGTACAAGTAAAGATAAGATGTTGGGAGAAGGTTTGAAGCAAAATTGGGAGAAGTTGGCAGGAACTCAAGTCCACTGTAAGGCATCAGGAGCTTTTTTCCATGGGGGAAACAAAATCCCCTTGTTAAAAAACAAATTCCCCCAATTCAACATCTAAATATTAATAAAGTCATTTATTATCAATGATAGATGCCAAAGTTCATACTCACTGAGGTCTATGCCCTCGGGATCCCAGTCATAATCAAGAGTTTGGATACGTTCCTCCTCTTCAAGGTACTCTGAGAACTTCTCAGATGACATATTGTATTTTCGAATTCGAACATTCTCAGGCAGGAGCAACAATGGAGGGTCACCTGGAAACAAAAAGAGACTACTTTATCGGTTTGAATTCAACCTGAACTGTTAAAATATAAAGTAGGATCTAAGATGCATAGCAGGTATTCCCGCCTCCCTTTAAAAAACATGATGTACAACTGCAAGAATAAGATCCTAATTAGAATGTTATGCTCCATGTATGTCTAACATGTCAATATACACTATGTATCTAAAAAGAACACATAAAATAAATAAGGGGGGGAAAAGCCATGAATTTTTATAGGAATCTGACCATCTCTGTTAATCAATAAAGCTGACCATACAACTGAGTTCCAAAATCCATGACTGTGGACATTCTCATCCCCATTTCAGGTGGAAAGCTAATATCTCTGCTTAGCCATATTATCATTTCTTTATTCTGTGTCCTTAGTGACAGTTTAGAGCAAAGCGAGGCTGAGAAAATGAGATCCCTCATTTTCATTGAATTATTTTCTTTATTTGCTGACATTAAAACAGACAAGATTATAGACATTCAGTCTCACAGAAGGGAAATAACATTCACAGCCTCACCAAAAGTTTACCAGGAAGTTCTTGTTCCTCACTCTTTACTGACAGATTTTATGATTCTTTTAGCAGGTAATCATCTCTATGACCCAATTTAGCTCCTAGCTAGTGAGAAAAAAAGCAGCAGCTTGTTTTTATTTTTTAAAAAAATTACCTACAGCAGCTTTCAATGATGATTCATCCCAAGATGCTTTTCTAGAATTTTAAAAATTTAATCTACTCGCATAATGTCAATCAAATACAATTTAAGTAACTTCTAAAAGTTCATTTTATATATTTCCTCCATCTTGACATTATGCTTTGTATGAATATTCTAACTTATTTTAATCATCTCCTTAGTTAAAAGATTTAAACAGCTTAAAGTTTGCTGCTTAATTACCAGACCAACTGTTCAAATGCCATCACTCTGGTTTTCATTCACTGTCAAAAATGTTTGGAGGATAAAATACTTAAGTATTTGTCCTATTTAAGTCAAACATATGCTTTAGAAGCCCAATTTATATGAATATATAGAATATCCATTTGCCCACAATTAACAAAATGAAAGGACAATTTTCTTAAACTCTAGTAAAAATTTTAAATTCAAAAAAAAGCCATATGGGATTTAGAGCAGGCCTGTGAAATTTCATGTATAAAACCTCTGACTTATATTCCTTCTCTTTTGTCTTTGCTGTCTGGTACATATTACTGCTTTTCACTTGGCCTGAATCTAAATATAATTTAGCCTAATGCTAAATATAATTAATCTAAAATATAAACTAATGACTGTGCTATGAATGCACCAGACTCCTCCTGTCTGTTGCCAAAAGTCCATGAACAATAACAAAGGGAAGGGCAGCAGAGTGTCTCTGACTTGCCCCACCCGCCCCAGTTCAATGTTTTTTGTGCCCACTTTGGATTACACGGCCTCAGACCCTGACCTTGTTAGAGTGGCAGCTCAAGGGCCTCCTCAGTTACCTTCTATTGGTGACGATCCCTCCTGCAAGCTCTTGCTGCAGTGGAATCTTCTGGAGGGTAACATCTTGTCTACTTTTCGAAATATTTATATTAAGGTAGACAAGAGGCCAAACCCAGAATTATAAACAATACCTGACTCTTGCTTTAATCCTATGTATTGGTGGGAGATTGTAGTTAGCATTTCAAACTGACAGAGGCRAAGAGAGAAGTGGAGGACAGAAACTGGGAAGGTATTGGAAGAAAAGTATCTGGTCAGTTAACAGGAAGACTGAGAGTTGAAAGTTCATCTCCTGGTATGGGGTGCTCTTGGCATTTGCTTCCCCCTAACGTTGTCAGATGCAACTTGAGCCCAACATACCGTCAGCTGCACACCGTTCTCCGTAGCGGGCACTCATCGACCTGAAGCCGTCTGCACAGAAACACTCATAACTTCCCTTGGTATTTTGACAGTTCTGGGGACAGACCCCAAATTGCTCACATTCGTTGATGTCTGCAGGCAAAATAAAACCAAATATGCAACATCTGTTCACACCCATTCCTTAGAGACCCTGTTTTTGTTTAAATTCATATTCACAGGCAACAAGAATCAAGAAGAGTGCAGATGAAAATAAACAATGATACATTTGAGGACCACTTATTAAGGTTCAGATGCTGATTCTCATGGTTTTTTTTTTTTTTTTACTAATTTCATATATTTTTTAAAAAACAAAACCTGTATGAAGTATGGACTATCATTAAGCCCAAAGTCCCAAAGCTCATCAGTAATGGAGATAGGGTTTAATTGAAGCTGTGTGAATTCATACAAAACAGAGCAATTCTTCACCCAGAAAGCATCTGTAGTGTTATTTTTGGTATCACTTCCCTTCAGCCAACTTGTTTCAGGAACAACAGTCATCGATTTGCTTTCTCAATTGAGTTCTTAAGCGTCAGCGTGCAAAAGAACTCTTACAATCATTTAAGTATGACACATAAATTAGACACAGCAAATTCACAAAATAAAAGACACCTAGAATCAGACTCATCATTGATATTCTTGATATGCTTCTTTCCAACTCTATACCTCATTCATGCATCACCTACACAGGTATGTAATAAATACTTGTTGTTGGACTCAAGATAAAGGTAGTAAGCCTGGTGATTGTCTTTAATTGATCATACACTGAGACAATAAATAGCCACCATCACCAAGGTCTTCACTATTCACCACAATTTCAGATATTTTGCGCACACACTAGTTGCTAGGCATTTTGCTAGGCATGCAGGGAAGAAAAGCAATTGGCATTCTTGAGTATTTTGATGCCCCAAAACCATGAGTTTAGCCCCATGAAGAGAATAAAATAGTGGTTTAACAAAAGGTAATAGCCAGAGATACTTTTTTTTTTTTAAAGTATAAGAGTCTCTTAATAAGGACTGAAGGAAATATACTCTACCTTGACAGGAGTTTCTGTCCAAAATACCAGCTTTGAACCCAGTTCTACAAGAGCAGATAAATCCTCCTTCACTTAACTGGGTACAATTCTGTTCACATAGATTTTCAGCACATGTTCTTTCTTTTCCCATATCTGAAAAATGAAATCCAGCATGACAAATGGAAGGCACAAGCCAAACAGTTGAGTGTTGTATCAGAGGGAAGAGCTGTAAAGCATCTTGGGAGGATCCCTTTCCAGAAGCTTCCAGAAGTCAGGGTGCATTTTTATTCTAATTTCTGGGAACAGCCTGAATGCCATTCACACAAACGTATGTAAGGTTACAGCCTGGAGGTGATTTTCCTGTTTCATAAGACTCTGCCAGGCTCACCCTCAGAGCACCCAATTCTGGACTCAAAAACTATGAAGCCAGGGGCTTTGCAACTATCACCACCTACCGTGCTATCTCTCATCCTATATCTATAACATCCTATATCTAGATAGACAGACAGACAGCACTGATTCAAATTAGAACCAAACTATAAATAAAGAGAAATTATATAGTTTTAAGACTAGAATTTGCCAAATATTGACCAATTCATTATACACATATCAAGTGTTGCCCAGGGTACAATAAAATGCATAGTCACGTCATATAATAGCATGTCATACATGGTATTTGAACCATAAGTTAGTATGTATGGAAGGGAACTTTATAATATCTCTATCTATCTATCTCTATCTATCTATCTAATATATATATATATATCAAGGTTTTAAAAAATATTCTATCATCTATCTATATCTATCTATCTATATATATCTATATATCTATATATCTATATCTATATATATAGATATATATCAAGGTTTTAAAAAAATATTCATACTGGAGTGGGATGTAGCTTAGAAGTAGAGGGCTTGCCTAGCGTGTGCAAGGCTGACCCTTCAGCACTATAGCATAAAATAATAAATAAAAGTAAAGATCTTTTACTTTTTTACCCAGTTATTTCACATTAATGAACTCTTCCCCCATGAAGGAATAAAACAAGACTTGTATTTAAGGATCATAACATTACAGCAAGAAAATGTTGAAAACAACTCAAATATCTATTCAACAGTAAGGAATAAATTATGTTATAGTGTATTTTATCAAATCTAAGACACCACTGATGATGCACCATTATTTTATGTAACATTAAAATAGAATAAGTCTGGAACTTACACTATGGCATGTTATCAACTGTAAGATGCACCTTGGTTTCAGAGATGTTAAAATATAAAAATAAGTATACATCTTAGAAGCAATGAGTTATGATTATTTACATGATTGATTTTTATGCAGTCATTAAAATTCAAGGCTTCAAATGATACTCTGACATAGGAAATATCTATAATAAAATGGAGAAAAAGATTGTAAAACTATTTAATATAGAATATTCTTTAAATTTGTTCAATATCAAAAAATTTATGTGCACATATATGTGCAAAAAAAAAAAGACAGCAAAAGTTTACAAGACTTTCAGAAGAGTTCTCTCTTAGTAATGGGATTCAAATTCTTTTCTTTTCTTTTTTTTTTTTTTTTGATACTGAACCCAGGGCCTTGCACATGCTAAGCACATGCTCTACCACTGAGCCTCACCCTAGACCCTACTCTTAATTATTAATGTGTTTTCTAGGTTTTACAACCTTTGTAGTTAAATCAACCAATACTTTATTTTCATAGGGCCTATATGAATAGCTCATGTGGTCCCTGCCATTCTGGGTCCAGATGCTCCCAGATAGGCTTTTCACAGTTCTGACTCTACCCAAGCACTTCATTGCTCCCTGTTGCCCATGGTGCTGTCTCTGCCAATGTCTGTCCCTGGCATCTGGCTTTCATCCTTGTCATTCTTATCAGTGTGCTTCTTTCATCCTCAGTCTCCATCTACCCCCAAACCTCAGTCTTAGAGAGAAGCTGACAAAGATGGACAAAGATAAAGGAGTGGGGCATGGTGTTTATCTCCATAAAGGAGTCAAGTTGCATCCACCTGCCTGTTGGTCACAGGCTTCTAAATATTTTAGCCAAAGGAACTGTGGAATCTCCTGGTTCAGTTCTCTCAAATCCCAATAGATTTATATTTCTGTCCTCCATAGTATCTGATGAGAGGATCTTTAACCACATCTCAGGGTCCCTTAGGGTACAATAACTGTAATAGTTTATATAGTTTAAATAGACTAAACCACCAAATTTCAAGAAAAGAAAAATAACCACAAAGTACAATGACTCCCTAGTACCACCCGCTTCCCAAAGAAAAAACACAATGGCATCTGATGGAATACAGAAGTACACACTCCACACCATATTCACAAAAGCTTTACAATAAAGATCTATTCTGATCTTATAACAACTACACATTGCTAAACATATCTATTCATACTTTATTTCTTATTGAGCCACTCTCAGTGTCTTGTGTCTAAGAATTTGGCTATTCATATAAGCAGCCTAGCCACAGTTGTTCATAGCATTAGTCCCTATTATCTTCCAAATGTCTGCAGGACTGGTAGTCATGTCTCATCCACATTACTAAATGCACAACAATTATTATTAGCTCAGATATCCTTGAACAAGCCACAAAACCTCTCTAGGTCTCATGTGTATAGACTTTATAATCTTCTCCCAGCTCTAATATCTATAATATGATTAGGATTCCCAGGATGCAAATGTTCTGGATCAAGTGTTCACCAAGAGTCCTCAACAAAATCAGAAATTGCATGGAATTGTGGGCTTCCTCCTCAAATTTGAGGTCCTATAACTTCATCCTAACTGTGCCCTGAAGTTCAAATCTTGACACAATCTTGACACAGTGAGATCCTAGCCAATTTATATAATGTCTAAGCTGGTTTCTTCATTTGTATATTTTTTAAAAGGAATAATAGGCTGGGAAGGTAGCTCAGYAGTAGACAGTGTACCTAGAATGAGTAAGGCCCTGAGTTTAATCCCCAGTACTGGGAAAAAAAGCAGGGGTGATGGATAATACCCAACTCATAAGAGTCTTAAAAGGATGAAATGGAGATAACCCATGTAGGATATTTATCTGTTTGTTTGTTTGTTTATTGTACCAGGGATTGAACCTACAGGCTCTTAACCACTAAGCCACATACCCAGCCCTTTTTTATATTTTATTTAGAGACAGAGTCTTGCTGAGTTGCTTAGTACCTCGCTGAGTTGCTGACGCTGGCTTTGAATTCAACAATAGTCCTGCCTCAGCCCTGTGAGCCACTGGGATTATAGGCATGATCCACTGCACCTGACCCACATAGGATATTTAGCATAAAGCCTTGGTACAGGATAAATACTCAATAACAGGTAGCTGTGAGCTTGATCACAGGTTGGAGCACAAAGTAAATTCAAGAGAAGTACATGGTCATCACCCACTTTATCCTATTATATGTTTTAATTAGGTGAACTTAAGTTACCACAATGAAGCCCAAAAATAAGTGTTAACTTACTGCAGCCTGTTTCATCCGAACGGTCACCACAATCATCAACATCATCACATACATACTGCTGTGAAATACAATTTCCATTGCTGCACTTAAATTCATTTTCTGTACAAGGTTTCGGGGTTGGTTTTCTGCCTGTAATTTAAAAACAAGTTAAAGTTAAAACATGAAGATGAAACAAGATGCTTCCCTCTGGTAGAAACAGTTATTGCTCACCAAATAAATATATGCTTCCCTACATTTTTCCAGTCTTCCTTTCATCCAGTTTGGGACTATGTCCATGGGAGTAGTTCTAGCCAGTGGTAAATGAGTTGGCAGTGACATGTGTCACCTTTGAGCAGAAGCAATTAAAAGCCCATGGACCTCTCTGTCTCTTATGCTCCTGAAGCAATCTTGGAAGCCATGTGACAGGTGGCAAAACAAAGGGTGGAGAGCTGTACAAATCACACTGGCCTTCCCGTGAATGAAAAGGAAGTCTCTGTTATGTTCCACCACTGAGACTTTGAGATTTGTTGGTTGCAGCAGCTACAGCAGAGTGATGAGAGAAGAGTATTTCYAAAGCAAAAACCTAAAATGTCTGACATTGGCTTAACAGAAGGCAAGCAATGAGGAAACTGATATTGGAGGCAGAAAAGATGGAGATGAATGTTCTGCAATGGCAAAGCATGCGGGAAGGGTATACCACAGAAGATCTGGAAGGAAGCTTGCGTGCTTACTGAACTTGAGGATCTAAGAAGAGAGATAAGAAGACAGAATGTTAGCAATGTGCACTGGTTGCAATTACCTGAATTTGACCAGGTAGTATAAGAAAGAGAAAAGCTCAGGGGGAAATTGTCTGATTAGTAAGCAGAAATGAAAGGAAATTAAGCCCAGAAATTTGCAGTGTGGGAAAGTTAATTAAAAGTCTGATGTTTAAAAGGTTTTGAGACACAAAGGCCCAGTAAAACATCTTAGATGGATAAAATGACTGCCCATCTATTTTTTTTTTTTTAAGATGGCCTGAGTATAAGTGACCATCAGTTGATATTGAGGTGTGTAACAGAAAGCATGCAAAGAAACAAGGCAGATTTAAGAGCAAGGTCTCAAAAGGAACTCTGGGTGAAATCATTAAATTTTAGAACTGACCAGAAGCAATGAGTTCAAATGCCTGCTAGTTCCTGAGAGATACTGATGATCAAATAAACTAAAATAATATGGCTGACTGAGATTTAAAAAAAAAAAAAACACCCTTGAACCCAACATTCTACATGTAAGAAGCAGGTTTAGAAAACGGTACTGTCCCTAAGGAGGGCATATTTCCCCCTTCCTTCTTCATTAGAAGAGGAAAATGAACAAGGAAAACTGATAAAAAGTAGAATGAAAACATTAAGGGAAAATGGGCATAGGAGCTCCTCTCCCAGAGCAGCTCCAAGACCTGTAGGGGCCTTTCCCAGTATCTGCAGAGGGTGGCACTATAGTGTACTCTCCATGCCGGTGTGCTTATGAGAGTGAAAGCAGTGCTACTGCTAATACTGACACCAGACAGATCAAGTGTCACCCATGATACATGCCCATATCGTTTCAGAGTTCCAGTATTTCAGAACTGCTACAGACAGGTAATTTCAAGGAGTCATTAATTCATTCATTCCAAAGGAAACATCTATTTCTGCTATGCTTTCTCTGTTCCTCCACTATCTTCTGTGAAAGGTAAAACTAGGGTATTAGTTAGTTTATGGGTCACCACACCAAGAGGAACCCCTTCTGGAATTAATGGAGTCACTAAGGTCCATTACCCAGAGCTCCTGGGTTTCAGTTACTGAATGAGACTATGAGTTATGTCACGTAGGGACGGATGAAGCTTGTTGTGTGTGTGAGGGAGGGGGAGTATAAAGGGATATTTTGTGGCACAAGGGTCAATTGTGATGGAAATAATTGATGCTCACTATGCTTCCCTGCATTTCCCAATGCCCTTTGTAGTTAGATTGGGGCCATGTGACTAGTTCTGACCAATCAACTGAGCTCAAGTGATGTCTGTCACTTCCAGACCTGGGAAGTCAAAAACCTGTATGCCCTCACCATTTCTCTCTTCACCTGCCTTGGCATCCACGAAGACCATGGGCTCCTGGTGGCATAATTTTAGGAAGGACACCTAATTGTGATGGAAAGCAGCAGCTAAACCTACTAAAACTCCTAAAACTCTGTTCCTCGGGAAGAGTTAGTTTACCACTACTTTTTTTCCCACTCTGGGATTTGATTATATCCTATAAAGCTGAATGTTGCAATGTTGTCAACAGCCTCTCTGACACACAGTCCCTGCTGGGATGGGGGCCCTTAGTGTCTCCTTCTCCCTTTTCTTACAGTTCTCCTCTTTCTCATCGGTTCCATCTCCACAGTCATCCACACCATTGCACAGTTGTTGAGCATAAATGCAGCGACTATTGTCACACCGGAAACGATGGGGTGTTTCACAGGGAACATTGACTGAAAAAAAAAAAAAAAAAAGAAAAAGGTGGAAAAATTAAATTGCAAGTGAAGAGGAGAAAAAGAATGTCAATACCTAAAACTGCCACACCGGACCAGCACAGGCTTGCTTTGTTCATTCATTTGCTCATTTGATTAAATCAATCAGCAAATACATTTCGAGTGTCCAGCACACACCAAGGCACAGTACCAAGCACTAAACACATGGAGGGACAGAAAGACATGGTTCTTGTCTTCATGGAACTTGTAGCAGAAAAGCAGCCCTCCACCCACTGACTGTTCTGTTATATCTGAGAAGCACCTACTAGGGGATCTGTCATATGGCACAGGAAGGAAGGGTCATAAGAGGATGATTCTCAATCAGAGAGGAGCATGGCAGGTTTGGGGAGCTTTATAAAGGTTCCTGGCTGGAGTGCAGAGTGAGGAGGAAGCAGAGGTCATGAGAGGCCAATGGGACCACATGGGGCTCTCTTCCCAGTAGCGTGAGGGCCATTCATTGTTCAATCCTTCTGGCTACTGCTGTTCTCATAGAGTCTCTAGAGCATGAAGTCTTCATGAAGTTTTAACCCTGTGATGGATGTTCCTTGCTGAATTCCCTCACTTCTTAAATTTAATGGTGAATCTCACCATGAAATCCTGACTCATTTTATGGTCCAGATTGAGACCTCCAGCTGCTGCTAACATAGCTGAGAAGAAACTAAGGGTAGTACCCGGGTTCCTCATTTGTGGGGTACAGGGGACATGATCTTCTCTGCCCATGCCAAAAATTCAGTGAACTCTGTATACATGTGCATCTTCTTTCACATAGAGGACCTGGGCTATTTGATTTTTCCTTCTGACTTGACACCRCACATAGAGATCAAGAGGAGAAACTTGTAAAAAGATGGGTTCAGGGAGGGGAAATAGTCAGATCTGAGGATTGGTTCTTGGAAGTATTAATAGAACCATCTCCAAGAATTATTTGCTGTGAAGGGTTAAGGCAACATTAGAGCAGTGCTGATTATTGTCAAAATACGGGTGTGTCACCACCTATCCAAACCATAATTTTACTAGCTATGGCATTTTGGCTTATGAAAAGAAGTTACTTGCTAAGGACTTCCTTGAAAACTTTACATGGCTTCATATGTTTTTCAAGAAGCACCAAAATAAGAAACAAAATAATAAACAAAATAAAAAATAGCTAGCTTCCAACAATGAAAGAGATGGCCAAAAAAAGGTGTTGGAATGCCACTGTGACATGTACATACTTGAGGGAAAGAAATACTCTGATGTATCATAAGAAAGAGTAGAAGAGGTAATGTGAACTTCAGAAGACAAATGTAGCCAAGTCAGACCGGCAACTACCTCCATGAGTGCTCCAGGGATCCCTTCTCCGGCACTGATGATTTTACTTATACAAAGTCCTTTAATTTTAGCTTGTATCAGAATTACTTGGAAGTCTCATTCATGCAGACATAGACTATCAGCCCTATGGCTGGTGGGACCTGTGAATTTGCATTTCTCAGATGACAATGATATTCCTAGTCCACGGAAGACACTTTGAGAACTAAGGTCCTAGCTTTTCTACTACGAATTCAAAGCATGTGACCAGTTGGTTGAAATAATTTCTATTTTCATTCATTTTGTTAAAGCCAATAGTGACTAAACTAAAACGGTAAGGAGCTTTAAAAAACACCCCGTCCTTAGAGATTCCACCTCATTAGGCCTGAGCCAAGGCTGAGGCCAGGACACATGAGACCAGGACAGTCTTCCCCCATTGATTCTGCCCCATATCTGAAATTCACCAGTTTGAAAAATAAATGTGTATCACATAACAACAGGGATTTGATGGCCTTAGAATTATGACATTAAAGGGAAGTAACTTAAAGGACAAAGTCTCAAAAGTTTCTAAAGTACTCCAGGAAGCTCTAGGGATTTGGAGTGAGTATTTCAAGGGGCACTAAAATTAGAACGGAGCAGAACAGTCACAATCTCCCTCCTGCCCCTCCTTGACTTCAAACCAGCAGATCTGTCTCTATTCAGGCACACTGAGTGTCCAGGTAAAACCTCTTCTGAAGAAATTGTTTCCTAAGGCCACAAAACATTTAAAATCGTGGATGTTGGCCCAGTGTTCTCAGGTTACARAACTGAAGCAAGAAGACCAAGTGACATTGCACCAATACCCATCATTCATCTAGTCCTCAAAAATTGCAAAACTGTCCCCCCAAGATCACACACTGCATGTAAAGAACAGCAGCTTCTGCCGGACACCAGCACCTCCTCTCCGCCCACTCTTCTCCCTCTTACAGCACAGGTGAAGTTCTTCATCAGAACCATCGCCACAGTCGTCACTGCCGTCACAGGTCCAGAAGGACTGGATACAAACATGGTTTTTGCATTCGAACATGGCAGCTGGGCAGTATGTACCATTGGGAAAGCGAGTTGCTGTAGGTGCGGGGAGACACATTCAAATCATAAGACAAATGAACTCATTCATTTGGGAAAGCTTTCCTGCTATTTCCCCCTCACTTCTGCTGTAATGTCCTACTCTTCCCAATTCATCCTGGAACACTCAACCCAAGTTCTTTACACCGGTCTACTCGTTGCCTGAATTTTCTTTATCTGAAATGTTTTTAATCTAATTAATGATTAGCATAGTAGTTAATAATAGAGACACACTTTGGTAACACAGATGACTTAATATATTCTCTATTCAAGATATTGTCACTGGGCACAGTGGGGCATGCCTATAATCCCAGTGGCTTGGGAGGCTGAGGCAGGAGGATTGAGAGTTCAAAGCCAGCCTCAGCAAAAGTGAGGCACTAAGCAACTCAGTGAGACCCTGTGTCTAAATAAAACACAACACTGAGGATGTGGCTCAGTGGTTGAGTGTCCCTGTGTAAGGAGTAGTAGCTAGCAGGTGTCTAAACCACCTGCTGCACATTCTCAGGTGAGCAGAACCACAGGTGTCAGGGACTTACGGCAAGTGGACTCATCAGAGGCATCCAAACAGTCAGCTCTTCCATCACATTTGAATTGGCTGGGAATACAGTGTCCACTGGCACACTGAAAATGTTCAGGATGACAGGTCTTCAGCTCTGAGGAGAAAAGAATGTCATTCCCGGAGGCCTTGTCATTTTCAACAAGTATGAGGGACATGGAGAGTGATGAGTGCTTCATCACATTCCTACCCACACCCTGACAGCAGCGCACAGCACACCCTCAGCTGTGGCTGGCAGGTGAGTAAACTCTCAAACTCACACTTGCTCCAGTCAACAGGGAGACAGAAGTACCTACCTCCCCACTATTAACTAATCTCCAGATCTTCAGCTTTTCCTCAGGAAGCAGAATTCTCCAATTTTCAATGTTCCCTGATTTTCCTCAGACCCAACATTTAATCCATAAAAAGCTATAGCAATTATTTGGTGTTGAGGATTCTCCTCCCAATACTTTGACCTCTACATAAAGGAGACCTTGTGGAATACCTGGAAGACCAGTGTGTGGTATGTGTATGTTTACAAGACCAAGGTAGATTAAAGTCTGCTCCAAGGGATGTCTAAACTAAAATGGGACTTAAAAATGGCTTCATATTAGTGCACCATGATCAAGTGGGGTTCATTCCAGGCATGCAAGGTTGGTTCAACATATGGAAATCAATAAACATAATTCATCACATCAGTAGACTTAAAGACAAGAATCACACGTTTATCAATAGATACAGAAAAAGAATTTGACAAAATACAGCATCCATTCATGTCAAAACACATTTAAAAAAAACTAGGGATAGTAGGATCAAACCTCAATATTGTAAAAGCTATGTATGCTAAACCCACAGCCAAGATCATTCTAAATGGAAAAAAAAATGAAAGTATTCCCTTAAAAACTAGAACAGGGATGCCCTCTTTTACCACTTCTATTCAACATAGTCCTGGAAATTCTAGCCACAGCAGTTAGACAGAAGAATGAAATTAAAGGAATACAAATAGGAAAAGAAGAACTCAAACTATCACTATCTGCCAATGGCATGATTCTATATTTAGAAGACCCAAGAACTCCACTAGAAAACTTCTAGAACTCAAAAATGAATTCAGCAAACTAGCAGGATATAAAATTAACACCCAAAAATAAATTTCATTCCTGTATATCAGTGATGAAACAACTGAAAGAGAAATTAGGAAAACTATCTCATTCACAATAGCCTCAAAAAAAAAAAAAGAAATTGGGGAAATCAATCTAACAAAAGAGGTGAAAGAACTCTACAATAAAAATTAAAGAACTCTAAAGAAAGAAATTGAAGAAGACCTTAGAAGAGGGAAAGATCTCCCATGTTCTTAGATAAGCAGAATTGATATTGTCAAAAAGGCCATACCTCCAAAACCACTACACAGATTTTATGCAATTCCTATTAAGTTTCCAGTGATGTCCTTCGTGGAAACAGAAAAAGCAGTCATGAAATTCATTTGGGAAAAATAAGAGGCCCAGAATAGCCAAAACAATCTTAGCAAGAGAAGTGAAGCAGGAGGCATCACAATACCAAACCTTAAATTATACTACAGAGCTATAGTAACAAACATGGCGTGGTATTGCACCTAAACAGACATAAAGTCCAAGAGTACAGAATAGAAGACACAGGGACAAAATTTATGTGGATAAATACTAGACAAAGGTGCCATAAACACATTGAATAAAAGATAGCCTGTTCAAAAGATGGTGTTGGGAAAACTGGAAATCTATACATAGCAGAATGAAATTAGACCCCTATCTCTCACCATGCACAAAACTCAACTCGAAATGATCAAGGGAATAGGCATTAGACCAGAAACCTCACACCTACTAGAAGAAAATGGAGGCCCAAATCTCCATAATTTTGCCTTAGGAACAGACTTCCTCCACAAGGCTCCAAAATATGCAAGAAGTAAAATCAAGAATCAACAAATGGGATGTATCAAACTAAAAAGCTTCTTCATGGCAAAAAAACAATCAATAATATAAAGAGGGAGCCTAGAGAATGGGAGAAAATCTTTTAACACCTGAATCTCAGATAGAGCATTAATTTCCAGAATAGTAAAGAACTCAAAAAACTTGAAATACAACTGGTCAAATATATGAAAAAATGTTCAACATCTTTAGCAATTATAGAAATGCAAATCAAAACCACACAGAGATTTCATCTCACTTCAGTCAGAATGACAATTATCAAGAATACAAGTAACAAAAAATGTTGGTGAGAATGTGGGAAAAAGATATACTCTACTGGTGAACTGCAAATTGGTGCCACTCTAGAAAGCAGTGTGGAGATTCCTCAGAAAATGTGGAATAGAACCACCATTTGACCCAGCTATCCCACTCCTCAGTATATGCCCAAAGGACTTAAAATTAGCATACTATAGTGACATAGCCACATAATGTTTATAACAGCTCAATTCCTGAAAACTAAGCTATGGAACCAACCTAGGTACTCTATGAAAGATAAATGGATAAAGAAAATGTGGCACATATATACAATGGAATATTACTCAGCCATAAAGAAGAATGAAATTATGGCATTTGACAGTAAATGGATGGAACTGGAGACTATTATGCTAAGTAAAATAAGCTGATCACACAAAAAAATGCCAAATGTTCTCTCTGATATGTGGATGCTGACTCACAGTCAGTGAAGGGGAGGGAGGAGTGGAGGTTCACTGGATTGGACAGCAGGAGGCRGGTATGGGAATCAGAAAGACAGCGGAATGAATCAAACATAACTTTCCTATGTTCATATATGAATACACAACCAGTGTAACTCCACATCATGTACAACAACAAAAAATGGGAAGTTATATTCCATGTATGTATGATATGTCAAAATACAGTCTACTGTCAGTTATAACTAAAAAGAACAAATAAAAAAATTTTTTAAATGGCTTCATATTTTCTCTTGTTTAAGTTTTAAAAAGCATAGAAAATACAGAGTGGAATATACCGTGTAATGCTAAGGTTTACATACTGCATAAATTACACAAAAGCCATTTTACTCTAAAAAGCCTTATCAACACTAGTTCGAAGTCCCTACTGTCACAGTGTGGGAGTCCACTATAAGCCTCTCAAAAACCCCTGACACTTACCACAGTCCCGCTCATCCGAGTTGTCCCCACAGTCATTGTCTTGGTCACAAACCCATCGAGAAGGAATGCAATGCTGATCCGCGCATCGAAACTCGCTCTCTGTGCACTCCCGGGGAGCTGAAAGAGAAAGCCACATGGCCATCAGGGTGCTCTGGGAGTCACTCAGGGAAATAGGCTATGAACTAGCCCCTGCACCCCCCCCCAACACACACACGCGCACACACACACACACACACACACACACACACACACACTCTTCCCCCAATGCCCAATCCTTTCTCTTCCAAAACTAGACCTTTCTACCTCAACTTTAAGTGTGTAAAGAATAGCCTTTAAGAGGTTTATCCAAAGGTGCTTGGACCTTAAGATACTTTTTTATTTCATGAATCTTCAGATAATCTCTCTCTTTCCCCTGCCCCTTCTCTCATATCTTTCTCTGGTGCTGGGGGTCAAAACAATAAAATGCCACTGGGACCTCCCTGTTGCATAACAAGTTTTGAGCTGCAGGTATAATCAACATCCTAATTTTCTCAACTGCAAATGGCAAATGGTGACCACTTCTTACTTCCAAAAGGTAACTAAAGATGAAATGTATTTCATATTAGAAAAATTGGAAATTGAGTATATATTATAAATGCTCAGGGTAAGGCTTCATGAAAGTTGTTTGGAAAACACACTCAATTATTCTGGTCTGACCATTTGGTATAGTGGGATCCAGCCCTTGGGCTGCCTTGCCTCAACCTCCCTGTCCAATTCCTTGCAGTCACACCTTCACTTAGAAGAGAAAAACTAAAGCCTGACCTGATATTTAGCTATGATCCCTCCTAAAACAGCTTCTCCAGGAAGGATGCCATTCAAACATGAGTCTCTCTTCTCTGTTACAGGGCCATTTGGGGGAAAGAGCTGAGAAGCAGGTCTTAGGGTTCACACCTTTCCTTCCTCTACTTCTCTTGGTCCTGATTTTCTATTTTCTTACTACATTAGTCCTTTATCATAAGTTACTTCAAGTTCTTTTTGGAAGAGAAGGCGAATAAAGAAATTCAACAGACAAAAATATAATCTTCAATAAATACCGTCCTCCCATAGCTTGATTATAATAAGCATCTCAGGAAGAGACACTGATGTGTATAGTTAGAAAAGGAGAAATACACCAACCAGCATAAGCAGCTGCTGGGCCACCATTTGAGGAAGAATGGCACAGCAGGTCGGATATGGACAAAGAGCACCTCCCTGTCCCTGTGACACGTAAAGACACTCACCGCAGTTCTCTTCATCTGAGTTGTCTCCACAGTCATTGTACCCATCACATTTCCAGCGAAGAGGGACGCACTGGTGATTCTTACAGCGGAAATCCCCCAAAGGATTGCATGTCATTGCCTCTGAAAAGCACAGTCATCGAAAGGACTCCGTAAAGCAAGAAATGCACAAAGTAGCCTTTATTGGCTTGCTTGTGAGACAGTCTGACAATTTTGTTACCATGTTCTTGAGGCTCCCAAAGAGGGATGCTGGCACCACTCATTGTCAAAATCCCTTTCAGCTAAGCTGAACCCATCCTAACTGCTTAAAGCTAAATTCAACTCCTTTTTGTTGAAATTGTCCAAAAAATAGGAATTTGCAACGGAGACTTGGGAGGTTAAAATGTCACCTGTAGGCARTAGAACATCTTAGTCACTTTGCTTTTACTGGTTGAGACTCAGTGTTATGAAAACTACCCATTTCTTCCTTATTTCTCTCCTAACTAAACCACGTGCGTGTGCACACATACACACATGCAGACACTTTGGTTCCAAGTTAGAACACTTGCCTGATTTTGACAACCTGTATTGATTTATTTGATCTTTTGCCCATAAATTCTTTTCATGTTGCCTAAGTGACTATAGCTGTCCAATGGATGATATGGCAAGTCAGAAAGAAAAAAACACTCAGAATATGAAAAATCATCAAGTAAGAAAGATTCTTTTTTCCCTCCCCCCTTCCACAAAGTTCGATCAATCCATAAGATCAGAGAAATTATTTAAATTTGTCCAGTCTGAATAAGGATTCCACATTTGGGAGAAATAACACAAATTCATAATATCTTAATAATGTCTTTCTCAATTATAGCATCCTTTGGGATTGGAAGTCATTTCAGATGATATAAATTAAATTCCCTCAATAACTCTAAAAATGCTACAAAAAATGCAAAGTGCCATTAGAAGCATCAATGAGCAATCCTTTCTCAGGGAAACAAAGAATGATGACGTGGGAAAACACAGCCCTTTCCCCTCCCCCTTCCCTGCAGGCCTCCTACCACAGCCCTGCTCGTCACTGTTGTCCCTGCAGTCATCCGCCCCGTTGCACACGGCCCACTGCGGGACGCATCGGTAGTTCGTCTTACAGCTGAACTCTGTGTGGTTGTCACAGCTGTGGGCAGAGCTCACTGAAAGAGAGGAGACAGCAAAGTCAGGTCCAAGTGTCAGTCCTGCTGGGAAATGCCACCAAAAACACCTTTCTGTTGTCATACTGAGGACTGGAGGTGCTGACAAGCCACAAAAAATCACCATGTTATCAACAAGACTGACTCCAGTGACAGGTGATCTGTTTCCTGTGAGCGAAAAAACAGAGTCCTCAGTCTCAGTACCCCTCATTTATTCTATAATGTAAATTTGTAGGGGGTACAAAAGGACTGGATTTGAAGTTAAAAACCTGAGTTGAGGTAGTAGGGCGGCCACTGACCATCCACTTAATATGAGCCTCACATTCTTCATCTGTAGAATGGGGCCTGGTTAACCCTGACCTTCTCTGCCTCAAGGTCCTCAGGTGAGAAGTACTAGATATACAAAATGTAATACTCTGGGTGGGCAGACATACATTGTATCAAGAGGCAGCATCAGAGACTTCAGGAAGAGAACGTCTTATGGTTTTCTAGTTCAAACTGTCAGACATTGGACCATACTTTGCCTCGMAGTGCCAGAGTTTGCAGGGAGAACCCAGAGGGAGCCACTCACGGAGCTGAGTGAGGGATTCCATGACCCTTCTGGATGCACACAAAGGTTCTCCCTGCTTTGGTCATGCAGGGAGTCTTCCCCAAGAAACTTACTGCATTCACTGATGGGCTCATCAGAAAAATCTCCACAGTCATTATCGACATCACACTTCCAGGACTGAGGGATACAGCGGCCATTGTCACACCTAAACTGGCCTGGCTTGCAGGTCCTGCTGGCACAGTGAGAACTGTCTTCGTCCGAGTTATCCCCACAGTCGTTCACTGAGTCGCACTGCCAGGCCTCTGGGATGCAGCGTTTGTTGGCACACTGCCATTCATTGGATTCGCACCGGTGGTTCTCTGTAAGGGGGGACATTTGGATATCAGCTTACTTGGTATCCAGAATGAAAKCTCCTGCCGGACATAGTGGCGCACGCCTGTAATCCCAGTGGTTCAGAAGGCTGAAGCAGGAGGATCGAGAGTTCAAAACCAGCCTCAGCAAAAAGCAACTTGCTGAGCAACTCAGTGAGACCCTGTCTCTAAATAGAATACCAAATAGGGCTGGGGATCTGGCTCAGTGGTTAAGTACCCCCTGAGTTCAATCCCTGGTAAAAAAAAAAAAAAAAAAAAATTGAAATCTCTTTAATTTACTCTAATGGAAACAGGAGAATTCAATCATAATTTCTTTTCATAGGACTTACATCTTAACATGCCTATTATCAACCAGTGCTACTTTGATGTGAGTAGTTATACCTTTGTCTATTACTGTCTTCCAAGTCCTTAAATATCACTCTCTTGCATACAGAATTAAGAGACAGGGACTTAACAAGGGTCTGCTAATCCCCTGTCCTGCTAATCTCTCCTGTCTTTGTTCCCCTATGAATAATGGTCTTCAAGCTTCCTGTGTGTTGCTATTGTTGGTGTGTGGTTTTTAACTTAGCAGCAGTGGGTTGGGGGATTTTTTTTTTTTTTGCATTTCTAAGTGAAAATGAAAATAAATATTGCAATTGAGAGTTCTTCTTTTAATGGGAGTAAGAAATTGCTCTCAAGGAGGGTTCTATGCCCTAACACGTGGTAAAGAAACACCAATCTAGAATATCTACCTCAAACATTTGCTCTTTAAAGACCTTAGAATTCCTATTTTTAAAGCTCTGTAGACATAGACCTAGGGTGGGTCCTGACCTTCCTCCTAAGACTTTGAACCAGTTTTCATCTTCTGACATTCAGGAAAAACCCTAGAAAATCATGATTGTACACAAATATAGAAGTGGGGAAAAGAGGTGTAAAGCAATTCAACACACCACAAAGAACCTGGTCTTCGTCAGACCCATCAGAGCAATCCCGGTGAGCATTGCACAAGGACTGGGGGCTGGTGCAGTTGCCATCCTTGCACTGGAACTGTCCGAGCCGGCAGAAGCGATGTGGGCACAGAGCAGATTCATCAGAACCGTCAGTGCAGTCTTTCTGTCCGTCACATTTCCACCAAATAGGAATACACCTGCATGAAAAAAAAAGAAAAAAAAAAAGCACTGGGGTGGCAGTGAGCAACAGTTGTCAGGAGAGAAGAAATCAACACCGAATCCCAAGCAATGACATGCATGAGTTCTCCCATTGTCCCGAAGAGGAACCATTAAATCTCAGTTACCATGGTGTGTTTTCAGAAAAAAAAGATAACTCAGTGAGATAGCACAGGTGTGTTAAGACCGAAATACACTGAAAATATGTTTTGGATATGATAATTAAATTCCTTCCACAATGAACAATAAAGTGTGTGTGTTTGTGAGCTGTGGTTCTAGAAGTGGTGATGAGATTGCCTGCCAGGGTGGTATAAGACATCAGGGATTGGCTGGGAAACTGGAGGACCCAAATAACCATTAAGTGCCCACGTCATGAAGAGTACGATAGATTTGTAATCTCATATATTCTATCTAGGAACCAAAATAGTCTGCTGTTACATCTTAGATTCTATGATTTGCATTAACATCTCTCTCTCTACTCACTCTCTGACTCTACTCACTCTCTGAATTATCAATGGTTTGTTATGGAAATAACCTACAACCATATCTCACAGCAAACACCGATGATCAAAAGTGGACTCAAACTGTAATCCTGGATCCACTGACATAGGTAAATAAGGAGGTAGCACTGTATAAAGGTGGCAAAAATGGGGAACTTCTGTCCCTCTTGAAGGCTATTTTCATTAGATAGTTAGGTATACTCTGGCCCTAACACTCAGGACAATTTATTAGAAATAAGAAATAGTTTCCTTTCTCTCTACAAAAACCTACCCACATAAGCATTATCATTTTGGTTAGCCAATTCCTTCTGTTCATGAGAGGAATTATCTGAAGTTAAAGACGGAAAGTCTTGGTATGTTCCTCACAAAACAAAGTAATTAGCCAAAACCTTGGTTCATGGAGAACCCCCATCCCTAAAGCCTCCAAGTTCAACTTGCCTAAGTGGGGAGAGGGGAAAGGACACCTTACTTTTCACCATTAGCACACAGGAACTGGGTGCTGGAGCACATGGGCAGGCAGATGGTTCTGCCACTCAGCTGAAGGGACTGGAAGTCATCTGGACACTGACAGGTGAATCCTCCTCCTCCTGCCTTGATGAGGCAGAGATGAGAGCAGCCACCATTGTTGGTACCACAGGGATTGTTCACTAGGGAAAAAGGGAGAAAATAGATGTTCATTTGCTTAAAGAGAGTGTCCGGAATGGATTGGCTAATTATCCAGCTTGACAACTGGACTCATCACCTCTTAGAAAGAAGGAAAAATCATAATCCTAGTTTTATCCTTTACCCAAAGTTTCTAAATTAGACAGATGGTAGAGTTATAGAAGCATCGACCTTGTGCTTTGAGAAAATGCACTTATGTGCTACCAGAAGTGACATGCTCACTGAAGTCTGCTAGAAAAGACATGTTTCTGGAAGTCCTTGGGGAGCTTACGTACCAGAACCTGAGCAAGAGTTTTAACGTGCAGCCGATGCCTCCCTTGTCCTAAAGACACAGGCAGCAAAAGTCTGACCATGAGTGACATGGGTGGCTACATGAGCAGTGTCCACACTAGGTTTCTGAGTCATCTGTTGGAGGTGAAGACTAACCTGATCTTCTAGTAAAATAATATGAAGAATATCATCTTCCAGAAAGAAAATATCTGAAAACTTTTATTTTATTCCTTCTCATTTTTCCTTACTTCCAAGTTTGTCATCTGTGTTGGCAAGACATCACTCACAACAAAGCAAACCCAGAAAAGCCAGCCTGTCCCCAAGGCATCCTCCAGACATTTGCTAGACTATCTCTAAGTCACCAAATGACTTTCACTACATGAAGAGGAATACAAGATCACAAGAAAAGCAGATTCTCTTATTTAGGAGAAACTAAAGTGAGCTGTTCTTGCCATTATTATCTTCAATATAGGAATAACATTTGTTTGTTATATAATACAACATCATATGCAAATAGACATTTAATAAGTGTTTGTGATGACTATGATTTTCTTTGAAACACCTTCTCTAAGGTGATCTTGGTATTAAGGGATGATTGCTAATTTCTTAGGCATGAAAATTATATTATGGTTAGATAAGAAAATGCCCTTCCTTATTTTGCAAAGGTGCTTCTTTAAGTAGTTAGGGTTGAAATATCATGATATTTTTAATTCATTTTAAAATACTTCAATCCTCCTATGAAACTAGATGAAGTAACTATGGCAACATAACAACAAGAAAATCGCATCAAAAACAAATGAAACCCCCAAATTGTTCTTTAAGAATAGGAAAAGTTTTCAGAAAAAGAAGTTATTTGGCTGAGGAGGGAAGATGGCGGCGAAGGGAGTGCATCACCCCAGTGCGCCGCGTCACTGAGTGGGAGAAAGACGATGTGAATCGCCTGAAGGCTATCTTGTTGGGAATTTCAAGTGAAATTGAGGTGCTCCAGAATCTAGTGGACAGATTTCCATTGTGCGAAGTTCGACTGCGGGAGCTCCATTTCTCCCCACGGAGGGTCGCATAGCCTAATAGGCAATCGCCCCGCGGGTGGAGTCTGTGGTGCGCGCTGGGGAGCGGCAAGGTGCTAGAGCGGGGGAGCAGCGATACGGATTCGGGGGGCTCCCGCCAGTGGTACATTGGCAGCGCTGAGTGCTGAGTTCCAGCGTTGAGACAGAGGAGAGAAGCGGGCCAGTTTGGTTCCAGACACCGGTCGGACCACAGAGGAGGACAGCAGCCGCCATTTCGGAGAGATGATGTAATCATCCCCATGTTCTACTGATCTCAGCTCATTCAGCTATGGAACAGGTGATTTCAGGCTGGTATTTGCCTGCGTCTAGCAGACAGATTTCTTGCTCAGGCTCGGGACTGGGATCT